TTCTATGTAAAACTTTGGTCGGCCATTTTGGCCCCGTCCTACCCCTGGGGGTCATGATTTGAACAAACTTGAATCTACACTACGTGAGGATGCTTCCATATAAATATGAACAATTATGGCTTTGCTATTCTTGAGAAGAAGATTTTTAAAGAATTTTCCTATATATTTCTATGTAAAACTTTGGTCGGCCATTTTGGCCCCGCCCTACCCCTGGGGTCATGATTTGAACAAACTTGAATCTACACTACCTGAGGATGCTTCCATATAAATATGATCAATTATGGCTTTGCTATTCTTGAGAAAGAGATTTTTAAAGAATGTTCCTATATACTTCTATGTAAAACTTTGGTCGGCCATTTTGGCCCTGCCCTACCCCTGGGGGTCATGATTTGAACAAAATTGAATCTACACTACCTGAGGATGCTTCCACATAAATATGATCAATTATGGCTTTGTTGTTCTTGAGGAGAAGATTTTTAAAGAATTTTCCTATATATTTCTATGTAAAACTTTGGTCGGCCATTTTGGCCCTGCCCTACCCCCGGGGGTCATGATTTGAACAAATTTGAATCTACACTACCTGAGGTTGTTTCCCTTTAAGTTTCATCCTTCCTGGCACAGTGGTTCTTGAGAAGAAGATTTTTAAAATATGCCACTTAATGTAATTAATTCCCAATTATCTCCCCTTGAATGAGGGCGTGGCCCTTCATTTGAACAAATTTGAATCCCCTTTACCCAAGGATACTTTGTGGCAAGTTTGGTTGAAATTGGCCCAGCAGTTCTTGAGAAGAAGTCGAAAATGTGAAAAGTTTACAGACAGACGGACAGACGGACAGACAGACAAACGGACAAACGGACGCCGGACAAAATGTGATCAGAAAAGCTCACTTGAGCCTTCGGCTCAAGTGAGCTAAAACTGTAATTAATTAATTACAGTAAAGTACAATTACTTTTTGTTCAATTACCCCATCCTTGTCACGTATGCATTTATAGAGTGAAAGGGGGTATTCTGTGAGATTTCTCGTTTCCTCTAGATATGTTGTACAAGCTTACAGAAATTGAAGAAAAAATATTTAAAAACTAATATTTACCTTAGCTGTGTTTTTCTACTAAGCAAACAATGAAATTGATTTGAATGCCATTTTCGTGTACATTCACACGTAGAAATATACACGGAAAAACGTGCGTTAACATGACGTCACAATGAGACTGCAGCGACGTTAGTAAAAATGCAACGATATAGGGCAGCGAGAAATTCAAATAATAAGTATATTTTAGTTGCTTCCAAACATGTAAAATGTAAATATAAGGAATGTTTTTAAGCTTAGTGTAAATTATTGGTGTGAGAATCACGCAGACTTGCACGTAGGCATATTTTTCATGAAGCGCTAGCGCGCTTCATGAAATATGCCTACGTGACAAGTCTGTGTGATTCACACACCAATAACTCACACAAAACTTAAAAACATTCCTTAATTGAATTCTTTCGGAAGTTATTGTACGGCACATTGGAAGTTATTGTACGGAATTCAGCCAAAGGTTTACTATCTGATTTAAAGTATGGTCAACATCAAAAGAAACAGTACCGCACCATGACACAATTATTTTTCTAACAAATATGATATTTGCAAAACGCTGTCTAAAAAACAGTTAACCTTTACATTGTGATGAATATTGCAAGAAATAAAAAAAAAAAATTGACAAAAATGAGAAATTTAAAATTTAGCCAGAATTTCCTCTGCATTACCATACATTGATTATCTTTTGTTCCTGTATATTTTCTTCAAATAATAAAATATTAATTCTTTCAATTGATATTAAGTTAAAACTTGGTTATTTTATCCATTTAGAACAATTTTTGATTTAACATATTATACTTTAGAAAATTTCCTTTCTGTTTTCCTGAGTAAACGTCATGTTAAGAATGATATATTCGCTTTTAAGTTCGTAGACGTTCTTGGATATCATACTAAAATCTGATGACAGAATATTAAAGGAAACAAACTAGCGATCTAAATATTGCTATTTTTACCAAAAAAATAATTCATAATGCCGATAATTCATCTGCACCGATATGAATTTATACCGCAGTATGGCGGTTTTAGAGGTATTGTGCATCGAAAATATAAACTTTGTTATTAAGACCCAGACCAACCTATATGGTCTATATTTTAGCAATAACTTTCATCTACTTGTCTGAATAAGAAATCACTAGGGCAAAAATGCAAAAAACAAGGGAAGAATTGGATAATTTGGCGCTTTTCCAACATATTCCCTTAGGGTCGAATTAGTAAAACTTGATAACATTAGAGATGCCCCCCCCCCCCCCTAAGAAATCGGAGGGGGGTAAACATTTTATTTTTTAATCTTAAAACTGAAAAAATGTGAAAAAAGCAAACTCAAAGAATGGTGGTCCCCTGCTTTCGGTGTCTTTGTGGGTGAGATGTTATTTTTTGTGACATATTGTGTCTAATATGAACACCCTATCATATGTCATTTATTTAGAAATTATCACTGAAGAGGATTTTTTTTTAAAATAAGGTAAATTGTGAAGGTCAAGGGGTAAGAAATCATAGCATGCTCGGAATTATCTTGTCACAGGTAATGCACATGTCATATATGAAAGCCCTATCTCTTCTCAATATAAGGAACAAGATGCGTTTGTGAAATACTGATGACCCCGAATGGCAACATAACGAATATTAAAATTTTCCTAAATGCAAATTAGATATATTATTACCCAAAGTAGGGATTTCTCACAAGAAATACGATTGTGAAATACAAAATCCTTAGCACCACTTGTTCAAAAGTTATAGTCGAGGATAAATTTTCGAAAGGTAGGTCAAACTCCAAGGTGAAAGGGTCTGAGTTTTTGTTTCTTATGAAAGGTCTTGTCACAAGTAATACATATGTGAAGGATGAAAACCCTAACCGTTCAAAAGTTATTGCCAAGGTTAAAGTTTTTTAAAAGTAGGCCAACTCCAAAGTCAAGGTGAAAGGGTTGAAGTTCTTGGTATCCAATATAGGTCTTCTTACAAGGATTACATAATTGCTAGCCCTAGCCCTTATCGTTCAAAAGTTATGGTCAAAGTTAAACTGTTTTCATAAGTACGTAAATCTCCAAGGTCAAGACCAAAAGGTCAAAGTTGATGGTATCCAGTGAAAGGTCTTGCCACAAAGAATATATATGTGAAATATGAAAGTCCTAGTACCTGCCATTTAAATGTAATGGCCAAAGTAAATGTTTGGCTTTAGATTTGTGTGTAAAAGTGGATCAAACTCCAAGGTCAAGGTCAAAAGGTCAAATTTGGTGGTACCCAAGGAAAGGTCTTATCACAAGGAATATACATGCGAAATATGAAAGTCATAGCTCCACTAAATCAAAAGATGTGGGCAAGGTTTAAGTTTTTATGACGGACGGACAGCTAGACAGACTGAAAGACTGACGGACAGACGGACAGCTAGACAGACAAATGAGATTTAATGTCCCTTCGTTTTTGCGAAAGCGGGCGAAAAATTATCGAAATCCTGGTAGAAATAATTAGACTCGGCCTCGTTAAAGTAAGCAAATAAACCTTTGAACATAGACGATGACATCAGTATTTTACCTTAAGTTTTAAAAATCTTATAAATAATTAAAGCCGCTTAATCTGAAACAGGCACATATTATCTTACACAATAAAAGTACGTCATTACATAGAAAATATATAAAAATAAATCATAAGATTGATTTAATAGTTTATTACAACAATCCTCATAAGGAAAACATAGATCATAAACCTTATTGACAAACAGAAGTTCCTGACGGGAAGTTAAGATATGTTGTGAAGTCACTTTTGAAAAAATGAATTTATCGGTTATATCTATTTATGAAGATAATTCAAACCCGAGTATTTTTTTCCATTAGAAGCCATGGAAATCAAAATGTATCTTTTAAAAATTCAGGAATTAATTGAATATAATCCACAGTAATTTTTATATTAATATGCATATTTAAAGAATAAAGGAAAATCAGATATTTTTTAAAAGGAAGTTAATTAACGAAGGTTTAAATATTGTCCGTGTACAGGTATAAGTACTTTAATTGTTGTGTAAAAAATGCTCGGATTTGTTCTTCATGAGATATAAGCGATAAATTTAATTTTTCGAAGGTGATTTCACGCGATATCAACATAGGATTATTTTTTGTGTGACCTAATAAATTTTTTTTTTAACTTTTGAATTTTGATATATTTCAAAAGAAAACGACTTTGGGGATACAATTTGACAAAAGTTGAAACAATTTATGGACAATTATTTTTCAAGAAGAAAAACGAATATATTCTTTTCGCGATTAGAATCGGACTAAGCGGCTTTAAAAATACTAACTATTCATTATTAGAAGTTAATCGATGAATTTTACTTCTATCGGTTTATTTAATCAATACATTGTATATTGATACTAACTTTAATGACCCCCGCTTTTGCGAAAGCAAGGGGACATTAAATCTCATTCGTCTGTCCGTCTGTCAGTCTGTAAGTATGTTCTTCTGTCACAAAAACTTTAATCTTGACCATATCTGTTGAATGAATTTAGTATTTCGTATTACATATGTACATTACCTACATTTTAACAAGACTGAACGTACTATGATAATTTATCCCTTGACTTCCTGACCCTTAAATAGATTCTGACCTACTTTTCATTTAATTTAATTTAAGCATTACTTTCAATTGACTGAAACTGTTGAATGAGAAGAGATCGAGTTTTTATCCTAAAGATGTGTTTTAATTACATGTGACAAGACCAAATACACTATGATTTCTAAATCCATGACCTTGACCTTTATGTTTAACCTAATGTTTAACAAATATCAACTTTGGTGATATCTTTTGAATAACATATGATAGGGCGTTCCTATTTGACACAATGTTATGCCATAAGTAATGACATATCATCCACAAAGACACCTAAAGCGGGGGACCACATTTTTTTTTAATTTGTTAAACTACATACAAACCTTTTAATTTCTTTTCCAGTGTAGGGTTTTCTTTTGTCTCTCCTTTGAGTACAAATTCATTTTTTACAACGTGAAGTTTATCGGCGATGACACAGTTGGATGTGTTTCTAACATTCGTCCGTTTCTTCATGATTATTGAGCTACCATCTGGGCCTAAATGTAACCTTTATCTAAAACTTCATGTAAATCCTATAAAACCTTTAATTACATAATCAAGAAATTAATAACTCTTTTTCTTCTATTTTTTTTAAAACTTATTCGATTGGTATTTATCCTCTATTTTGAATATTACAATTAGATCTATGATAATTTCCAACTAGATCGCTCTGCTAAAGTTAGATCTATGATCATCTCCAATTTTGGGACCATGAACTTTACAATTTTGGTAGAGGACCGGAATCAAAGCGTATGTCAATCATGCCAACAGTTTGACTGCTTGATGTTCAGAAGTAAAGATTCCATAAATTTAAATGGTTTTGGCACCACCCCCCAGGCCTAATGGGGGAACCAAGAAATTCAAGATTCAAGATGCTGAACGTGTTCAAAATGTTGAGGCATGACGCATGACGACAAAAAAAGGAATAGCAATAAATAACCTGAGTTGACCTAAAAAAATTAATCTGCCCTTTCCCTACATGAAATATCACAAAAGACTGAAAAAGACCTGTTAAGCAGTGTGAACAAAATACTGTAAACCAACTTATATTCACGTTCGAGTATTATTGTAGAGGTTTGTCATCTACATCAACTCGTGCGCCGCCATCCAATCATTTTGCCTAGTATTTGAAAAGAATGTTTCCTCATTTGGAATTTTTTTTTATTTTAAACCGACGAATCGCGAATAAAAGAGGAAGCGAATAATCGTCTTGGTTTACTGTAAATTAATTCAAAATGTAAACATTTATACTGCTACATAATTGTGTACTAGTATTCAAAAATACTCAGTAAATATGAGAACGATTATATCTACCAGAATGCTGAATATACATGTAAGAATGTACACCAATAAAAGAGATATTCGTTTTCAGCAATGCTGAGTGATGTTAATCCCCGAGAGTAAAGAATGAATGTCAAATACGAACTTTATTAAATCTCATTTTACCCAATGACAATAATAGATTAGATGCTATGCTTCACCTAAAAAACTCAACGTTGAGCATGCAGTTGTGTCGAAGTCTAGTGCGCAGTACATTGTAGCGTCTTTTTTCAAAATTGTTATAAGGCGGAGCTACTGACATTTTGTGAAACTTTACTTAAAACCAATTAAAAGCAGACAAAAACATGGTGTCTAGCGATAAAGAATTCCACTCATTTATAAGTTTGCAACCTACATACAGGTAATTCATAATTTTGTGAGTTTCTTGTTGTATATACGGAAGAGTTTCATCACATGTCAGGTATAGTCTCAGATAGTTTATCTGAAACTAAATTATTTCGAACTTATACATGGTATTTAATATTTGGAGCTTGTGTTTATCGTTGAGCAATATCCAGTCTGATTTGAAATACAAAGAGTAACAGTTCGAGCTACGTTAAGTTGTAATTTCTTTAATTTTTCAGAATGGATAGATAGACCCATTCCCTGCCCTTTTACTGAAAAATGATCCGACTCAAAGTTTCTTCATACATTCCAGGACATCCTATTCAGTTGGGGGTACTACCAACTGCCAAACATTCCTTAACAAGAAAAAAAGGTCATCGGGCGTTTTACTGAGGGGGCACGAGCATGTTACAAGCTATGTAAACTATGTTTTCTGCATATTTGCAAAATTAGGGGAACCCCCTGTGGCCCCACTCACTTTCCTACGGCCATGTTCAGTACCTGTTGTGAGCGATCTAGTTGGAGTGTATCAAAGATCTAATTTTAATTGGATTGAGTTTTTTGATTAATAAAGACCTCGGCATTTCTTACCTTTTGTTGAAACGGTTGGTATAACTTCATCTGTGTTCTCTTTGTGTGTTGGAGAGAATTCTTTGTTTACCAAACTTTAATCATTAAAAGAAAATGTATGATCATTAGCTTATATGAACAGCCGTTATCTGTACTACTTTTAGAATTAGTGCAAAATTCTTTAGAAAAAGAGATTTTAAATATATCTATCTTGTAGAAAGCATCAAACGAATTATCTTTTTAAAATAGGAGAAAAGAAGGTCATGGGCCACATTGCTCACTGGAGCACATTGGCTAGAAAAAAAGCACAAATCAGTTTAGTATTGAAAAGTTTAAATTACCCGGGGAAGGGGGGGGGGGCTTGAATTTTAAACTAACTGAGGATGCTTCCATATCAATAACAATGACCTTGCTATTCTTGAACAGATGATTTTTTTTTTTACATGTTTGACTGTAATGATTTGAAGGAACTTTATATAACTCTCTCTCCTCACCAACTGACATATCAAATACAATGACACCCGCACGAGAATTACATGCATATAAGGTCTCCTTAGCTTGGCGAAATTTACATTCTGGTAGACTGATCAAGAAATCTACTCATTTAAATTTCAAAGAGTTGTCGCAGAGAAACAAATAGTAATGGAAATATTTTGATCAAAACTAGGGATTTTAAAGGACCTACTGAACATGCCTTTCAGTGGTGAAATGGTATAATGCAGGTTTATTTTATTTAAGTGGTAGAGTTTGAGTATTTTGATAACAATGATATATTCTTTATCAAGAAATGATTAACCTCTGTATGACCGGTGGAATTGCTCCTGTAATAGGATTTCTAGTCTTAAGCTCCGTTTCTTCTTCCATATCATCGCTGTTTTCTTCAGAAGATGATGATACTGTAAATATATTGAGAATATTGAGAATAATACATATCCTTTTCCATATCACATCCGAAGGCCGAAGGCCCGAGGGCTGATACAGGATGTGATGTGGAAAAGATTACGTTTTATTATGTTTATTACATACTTAATAATAAAATACAGTATACACCAACTTAAGAAAATGATACATAAAAAATAATCATGCACATACTTATGACAGGTACATAGCGTATTGTTTAAACGGGTTGGGTATGTTTTTACTTCATTTTCAAAAGTACCCGATCCATAGTTTGAAACAATCTTTTGTCAAATAGATGATCCTTACAATCAAAAGATTAAAATTAAGAGAATGATGACCCCTAAAAATATTTGTATTATCACAAGAACTGATTTTAGAGGTTTGAATGATTTACTAGGAGTGTGATATTGATCCGTATACGCTCTGCAAATCCATATCAGCCATGCAACAGCTATTGTGACGTCGATCAGACATATCGCATATACAAAAACCCTTTATTTTTTACGAAGTATGGAATAAATATTTTCATTATATACTTAATGTGTTTCACTCAAGTTTGCTCTTGATTTTACGCTATCACGTGAGGTCGTTATCCGACTTTCCAGATCACCACACTGTGATTTCCTGAATCCATATCGCCACTCTCCGAAACTGATGACATAGTTCGCAGAAACATGACGTTATTTTTCTTGCGCGTTAAAAAGTCCTTTGTTATTATGCTTTGTTTTATGGATATATGTTGTACAATTAACCTCTAAAGTTTTCTTTTGCATATTTTGCTAGTTATGAGGGGGAGTATAATAAATTAATTAATATAAAAAGTAAATTGATCCGAAGAGCTGTTTCACGTCTTGTTGACAGGCGCGGATCATCAGATCAAACTAGACGCTTCGCATCTTGTTAGATCTGATGATCCGAGCCTATCAACTCCACGTAATACGACCCGTTGGATCAAGTTACTTTTATTTAAGAAATAAACAAAGTTATTTAGTGAACATGGCGTTATGAATAGCAATTGCTCTGCTGGCATATTCCATGATGCGCTAACGCGCATTATGGAAAATATGCCAGCAGAGCTACTTAAATTTGCATTTTTTGATGTTGTCAAGAATATCAGAGGAAATCCTGGCTTGCTGTCTTCAGTAAAGAAAAACACACGGCTAAAAAACTAGTATACCTGATCATTGCATCTTTTCTCTAATAAATCACAAACAAATTGTACAGTATTTGCCTCTTAAACACAGTTATCTGGATACAAGCTGCACTGTCGTCACATTCTCTTAATTTTTGTTTTGGTGCAGTTGTGACGTCATCAATCAACGTTATTTTTAAAAACCCTCTGACAAAAATCAATAATTTAACCTTATGATGAAAAAGGGAATGTTTTAATAATGATTATAATTCCAGAATGTTTTCTATGATTTTTTTTAAAGTTTTTCTATTTATTTTTAAGAGCTGAAATCGTTCTTGAAAGACATACTAATTATTAAAGATTTTTGCTTTTTCTGAATGTTTTATCATCCAAGTGTGAAAAGTTATCGTTCTTTGTACATGTACAAATATGCAAAAAAAATGATAAGAAAAAAAATAAAAAATATGGCAATTCTCTTTAATTTTTAAAAAAAGTTTTATTGTACAATTGAATACATTGACCAAAATTAAATTTTTAAAGATATAAATCTGCAATTTTGAATTGTTCTGAATTTCTTTTTTTCCAAAAAATATTATTAAAAGCTTATATTTATTTCTTTTACGAAACATTTCATATATATACTTCTCAACACACCATATAGGCGTAGTCGAGCTTGTACTATACGAGTGCGAAAGAGCAATTGCTCTCATAGCAGGAGCAGTTGCGTCTATAGTGCTATGAACGCAGTTGAAGCCTGCAGGTTTATAGTGGGAGAGTGCAGGGGATCTCCAAATATTATTAAATATATTTTTAACAGTAATTTGATCCAAAGAGCCGTATCACGTCGAGTTGACAGGTGTTGAGAGGCGAAGCATATCGTTTGATCTGAAAATCCACGCCGTTCAACTCAACTTGCTACGGCTTTGGTTCAGGTTAGTTACTTTTACTATGATAAATTCATTAATATACCCCTCTAAATTGAGCATTTATAAGAGAAGAAAACTTTTGTAAGCAATTATTTATGCCTTTTATCCAGTAAGCAAAGTATTCTTTCAGGGAACCTTTTGATAAGCAAGATAAAAACGTTCATGTTTATAATGTGTACGTAATAAGTTTCCGAGTTGTGATATGGATTAAGAAAACCACAGTGTAGTGATCCAAAAAGTCAGATCACAACGTCACGTAATTGCATAAATTCAACAGAAAAAAATGAATGATACATAAATTCTGAATCAATATGTATTGTGGCTATTGATCATCATATAAGAGATATATGTAACAGATTAAAGGAACTCTTAAAAATTATACGAGGAGGTAAAGAAATTTCGTCACGGTAGCTATATTTTGAATGGAGATTTCAGCGAATATTTTCATGTTGGGGTTTACATGCCTAAAACGGTAAGCATGTAAAAATAATTAGGACAGAGAATCAAATAAACAACAAATAACTAATTGGACGCGAACGGCAGTGTTGCATATGTTTAAAATTTTGGCTATTGTTAGCCGAAGTTGGGGCTTAATTTCCAGACAGGAATTATCAAGGGGTTCCTGAGAATCTAAGGGTGTCAATCAAAATATCTAGAGCCTAGCAGAATCTCCACAGAGATAAGCCCCAGAGGTCAGGGATCATAAAATTCAGCCAAAGATGCTTTCTGCCAAAATTGGTTGTGCTGTTGCAGGGACAAAGCTAAAAATGTTCAAATGTTTACATATGACATACGACGACGGACGAGAATAGATAGCAATAGGTCACCTGAGTTAAAAATAAGAACCGATAACTTATTGATAGAAAACTTTACTTTTAATAATCTGTTCAACCTAAAGGCTTTCGTCAATATTATGTATCTTCTGATGACATACTGAAACCTGTGTACATGCCTGAAAAGGAATCTCCTGTTAGTGAATTTCCGATCTGTAGATCAAGTTTATCAACTGTATTAATTTTGTTATGACTGTTGTCAACCCGTTCACTCAGATTTCTATTGATACTTCCGGGGAATGCATTCACTAGCGCTTCGCTTTCATCATGCAATCGCAATATTTTAATAACCCATCTTCTTAAGATTGTTTTCTGTGCCATGGGCAAGTCCAGGTCTTGAATATCTCTCTCTGTTAATGTGGAAATTGCATCGACACTTTCATATCCACACGAAACAAGCAAGTCGATAGAGGATCTTTTTAATCCTTCTTTGATCCCGTCCTCTTTCCATTTCTCATGTAAATTAAATGGGGATGAATCCATAGTTAGGTCAATGTAATTTTTTTACGAAATATTTTCACAGCACTGCTGAAATATTATAAACATTGATAATGAGAATGCCAGATAAAAAAGTCAAGATAAAGTTTAAGTTTTATGCACGCATTTATACGCTACATTCATACTTGTTGGATAGTTCATGTATTCAAATAATGTACAAAAACTTTATTGGTTACTAAATACAGAAGATAAGGAAACTCTTAATTTTGTGGGCAAATTTATAAATGAGTATTATTTAGAGAACGAAACGGGTTCTGTATAGTAGATACAAATTTGGGGATGGATACGAGTGCGCATCACGAGTCTCCAACCCCAAATTTGTATCTACGATACAGAACCTGTCGAGTTCTCTAAATGATTTGTGACACGATCAATCAAAAATAGCTCCGCCCACTTTATAACTTTGCAGCATCCAAACTTCCGCCAGAGTTCTGAAGATGAGGCCCCGACGGGGAGTATGCATCTGCAGTATATATATATATATATATATATATATATATATATATATATATATATATATATTTCCACGGAAAACGTAAAATTCGGTCAGATTAGTTTTGACAGTTTAACGTGGTAGACGTAATCGAGTGATCGCCAGTCTTAATGGATAAATTGGAGAATTTAACCGTCATTGTTGTGATCTATTATACATGGAAATTTATCATAATTTATTTCAGGGGTCTTTAAATCCCGGTTTAACTGATTTACGAAAACAGGATTTACAGAAAATTCTTCGATGGACTTTGATGTCACGGATTTTATTTTCAAATTGAATTGCGACATTGAAAACGAAATGAAAGAGATGTGTGGCTGTCGTCAGCGAGAAGGATTTTTAAAAATAAAAAAGCGGAAAAAATGGACTTGAATGATTTTGCACGAGGAGAGTGGATGTTTTCCGTTATTGCGAATTTTCCGTTTCGTTTGGATCGAAATTACGTACAGAGGATGTTTTCCGTTATTGCGAATTTTCATTTTACTTTGGATCGAAATTACGTGTAGATTCGGTGTGGAATAAGTTTTTAAAAAGTGATTGAGAAATTTTGACATTTAACATTCTCAGGAAAATGCTGGGTATTTCTCCAAAATTATAATAGGAAAACATCAGCATTTATTATTTGTACGTGCTTTTACTAAATTGAATCAGATTTATTTTTAGACTGTGCAGTATTTTAGATACAGAATAGTTGGCAAATACAATACTGTATACAGGGCTGATACAGAACGGAAAGTAGCTCCGCCCACCACAGTCCCGTTCTGTATTGCTAATACAGAACAGTAAACTTCAAAGAAAAACACCGCTATCGTGTCACAATAACATGTTATAGTAATCTTAGTCCTTTACACATATACATGCATATTGTTGAATTCCTTTTAATTGAAACAGGATTATTGTTGAAATGATTTATGTCAATTACTAATTGTTTTGCTATTCATTGGCTTATCTTTTCGTTATTATTGTAATAATCTCATACTTGTCTGCTCATGAGCTCTAAATTAGAAATAAAATGTTCTGTTCTGTATTTAAATGCTTTCCTTAAACATGAAGTATCAATGCCATTTAAGGACAGATGATACAAACAAAAATATGGATGATTGGATTGGTATATATTTTTTTAATCCTATTTCATTGCAAATGATGCAATTGATAAATTTCAGGAATATAAAAATATTGTAAACCTTCTATTATGTTCAAAATTCTACTCTTTTGAAACCGTCTGTACTATTCTATATAAATATTTTTCACTTCAATTTCCATTTTTGTGCAATTTTGAATAAAAAATAAAAAACAATGCGGTGAAACCTATTCATTTTATTTATTTAAATATGACCTTAAGTTGTTATTTTCAATTTTTTTGACAAAAGTTTGTTTGTATCATGTCCTTAATAACCTATCAAGATATGCAATACATGTATATGTAATGTAATAATATTTTTTCCTCCTTAAAGGTACGGTTTCCAGAAAGCAAAGGTAAATCAAAACTTAAAAAGGACAAAACCTAAAAATAGTAATTCTCCTTTAAAGCAGAAAAGGTTAATACATTTTTCACCTAAGGATACTTTGTGCCAAGTTTTGGTGAAAACTGCGTATTATACATAATTGTTTTCTTGAACCGAGACTAGTTTCAAACAAATGAGTGGATGATACAAGAGTATTTTCTTTTTCATTTAAAATGACTGATTTATTTGTAGAAACAATGTCTTGCTTAAGGACATCATTTCCGCATTTAATTCACGCTTCCACGCTCCGCCCACCGATGGCAACGAAAGTCACGTGGATGCAGACTCCGACAACCTAACGTAAACAACATGGATGCGATTTACAGAATCGCATGGAAAAAAAAGTTCAGTGAGCTTGTTTGCTCACAAATTTTTACAGAAATGTTTGTCAAAAGTCATATAAGTTTAATTGAGGTTTCAAACACAAAATTTTAGTAAGTAGAAATGGGAAGAGTGATTTTTACCGCTCGCTCCGTATGCAACCGACTTGAAGGTCAGTTCAACTGTCGCCGGACAGTGTGCTACAGAGTAGTTAGATTGGAAACGTAGACCAATCTTCATTGTTTATAATAAAATCGACAAATTTTGTTTAACATTGCAATCTTAACCGCCGAGATGTCCTCCAATATTAAATTCTTTGTTACCGACAATGGACAAAATTATTTTGTTGTTGATGCAATCATGAATGTAGGTCTACGTAATGTGTTACTAGCATTTATTCACCCCATCACTTCCTCACACAATATTTTTGATTTTAACAAACTGATAATATTTTTATTTAATTATTTTCAATATTTGCTTTAAAATCTCTACACTGTTACTAACAGGTCTGATTCTGTGGTATTTGTATTGCAATTAGAGTATATTGGATACCACTAGATCTAAATTTAAAAAAAAATGAAATCTACAGTGTTTTATTTAATTTGTAATAAACTCAAGCATTTGTAACATTTTAATAGGCCAAGATAAATTAAATGAATACTTTATGCACATGTTTTTCTGACACAAGTTAACAACAGCGATTTCTGTTCATCTGTATTCATCATCTTTATTTTCTGTGGGATTATGCTAGGTACCCTATGCAGAAAATGAAATGGATATGCTCAAAATTTCAACCTTCATACAATACATTTTTTCAATGTCTAACAATATATTGCTTGGGTGGCAGTATATAGAGGATCCTTAAGATCATTTAAACAGAAAACAAATTTGTTTAAAAATTTCAGATGTTGTACTAAATAAACTTGCAGGGTTTTTGTCATGTTTAGAATACTACATTGTACTGAAGATTTTGTGAAAGACTGTTTAATGATCAAAACATTCAGAGTACACCATCTATTCTAAAACTAAAGGTGAAGCACAGGCTTAAGGGATTAAGGAAAATATTCACATACTGTTGAACAAATAAGTTACATTCAGTATTTCAAATGTTAGGTTTAAAGGATTTCCTTGCAGAACAATCATGATGTCTTCATCAGCAGTGACATACGAGGGGTGATCAAAAAGTTCGCAAACTATCTCTATATCTACAAAACCACAATTCAGATTAGAATGAAATTCGGTACACACATAGCCATACACAAGGTCTATAAATAGCATATGCTGAATAAAGTTTCTCTCCTTGTTTGTGACGTTACAATGTGAAAGTGACGTCACTATTTAGGTCACTTGTGACGAAAAATGGTTGTCTCAGTCGAACTCGTTCAACAAACGACTGTACAATTTATTGTAATATCTTAGAAATCCCTCTACAGTATCATATATTAATTTGTACATAGTTTATTGAGATAAATGAGTTCCTATAAATCCAATTAATGATTGGATTAATCGTTTTAGTGAAGGAAGGCTGATGGTTAAAAATGATACTTGTCATCTTGCCCAGTGAAAGCAAGTTTGAAAAGATATGTATTTTTAATTAAGCAATTTGCTATCAAAGACCTCAAATTAGCACTTTGAAAAATAGTTGAATATTTGAACAATGATATAAGTATTAAATACCTAAGACATCGTTTACTTTAGATTTTCAACAAATTAGATATGATAAAAAGGATGCACCCATTCTCTATCCACCTTGCATAAAGGTCTCTCCTGAGACAGAAGATTTGTGTTTTAATGGTCGCCATGCTTATTTTTGGAAAGGATGTTATTATCCACCCATTCTGTTGCCGAGATATGACCATTTCTGACAAATTAACTGTTCTTGTCATAAAAATTAACTCACATGGAAAGAAATATAAAACTCGGAAAAATCTTTTAACTTTTGTGACAGAACGCTACGGAGGGGGTCACGTGACCGCCAATAACACGTGATTCGCGCATGCGCAGAACGGTGGTTGATATGCATTAAAATCGGGGAGGATTAATTTAAAATATAATCAACATTAAAACCAAATATTGTTTCTTGTATGGAAGTTATTTAATTAGTTTACGAACTTTTTGATCACCCGTCGTACTCAAAGAGGAATCAAAATAACCCTGTTTCAATCAATGATATACTTTCATGTAAATTAATATGATTTGTTTAAAAAAAAAACCACTATTCCCTCTGAACAAAGAAACCACGCCCTCCAGCGTAGCAACAGAAAACATTGCTTGACGGGTGATATTCCAAAAAATATATACATGTGCAGAATTTATGCATGCACAGTTCAGTGTTACATTTCTTCGTATCAAACATTCAGTATAATATTAGGCCAAAATAAAATATACTCGTTTCCTGTCACCAAACTTACCCTAGATTTTACCCTCCAATCCTAAAAGTATTTTTTTACATTTTCATTTTTGAGTGATATTTTCCTGAAATACTAAAGTCAGCCAAAAATATTTACAATATATTACAGAACTCATACATCACAAGTGTACAGGATACCTTTACTTTATAAATCTTTATTAACAAACTTGCTTTGTAAACTGTTCACATACTTTTTTTCTTGTAATTATGTGCTATATGTTCTGCATTCATTGAGATTTGAAAATAATTTTTTTTTTCTCAAAATAATTTTG